TATTTCTTTTACATGGGTGTCAGGAGCATAAGAAAGCTGAGATAGAGTCCATTCAGTGCCTGCAGTCAGGACTCTCGTGTAGTCTAAAGAATAAGGGAGTCCTTCTTCCCAATGCCAAGATCATAGTTCCACATCTGCCCAGGGAAGTCTGCTTTTTTTTTTTTTTTTTTTTTCCCATGTAGGGCAACATGACAGCCTGGTTATGAGTACAGACTTCAGACTTGACTGGCTTGGTATTTAATCCCTCCTTTGCCATTCAATAGCTATGACAATGGGAAAGTTGCTTCACTTTTTTCTGCTTTGTATTCCTGACCATGTAACAGTTGAAGAAGAAAATATGGAACAATAGTTTATTGAGTAATTTTAAAGGAACATCTTTGTAACTTATAAACTAGTAATAAATGAGAGCTTATAAAAAGAAGAATTAACCAGCAGTGCAACTGATTTAGCAAATGCCCTATCCCTATGTCTCTGTGATCTAATCTCTAACACAGATCTGATGTGTGGTCCCCTTGCCTTCTAAAGTTGGGTGATTCTGAGGTCCCATAAGGAGACACAAGAAATCAGGACAGGATGGGATAAGAACCAGGGAGTTTCAACAAGGAAAGCTGAGCCTGCACCGCCATCTAGCCTGCTCTGCACCACCCCTCTGTGTGTGCGTCTCCACCACGCTTGAGCATCTTCTTCTTATTTTTTTAAAGTATAATTACCGGAGCTTATGTTTCACAGTTAATGCTGTCAAGCCTTTTAAACTAATTGGTCTTTTATAGAAAATTTAACTGAAAATTAACACATCTTTTAATAACATTGCCTTAACTTTAATGGCACTCTGCCTTTCGTTTATAATTGCTCTAAAATTGTCATTTTCCATGTCATAGCTGCCATTTTTTATATTTGCTAGTTTTCACGGTGTAGATTTTTATTTTTAGTATTTTTCTTTCTTGAGGGATGAGAACTATTGGATTATTTTTTCCTATCCCGGGCCTGCCTGGCCTGATGTGATAGCAGGGGTATATTCTCAAGTCCAGCAGAATATCCCTGCATTTATCACTTAGATCCTATAGACTGATGCTGTCCTGCTCTCTTGGCAAGGACCATGGACACTCTTTCTGCCTCCTTGTGAGCAAAAGAAGTGGAAGCTCTTGAGTAAAGTGTAAGAAGTGGGGCCATGGAGTAAATTGGCTTATGTCTCTGAAATCACATGGGGCTGGTTAGCTTGGGCTGACATTGAGCTCATCAAGGGGTTTGGCCCTTAATGAAAATATAGTTTACACATTAAATCAAGTGGACCATTGTCCAGTGGTCATCTCTTCCAACCTTTCTAACTTAAATCCAGATTTTTCTGGAAAATAGAGGCCAGTTCACTGATATTAGAGATGAGAACATGGAGATGTTGCTTCTGGACATTCCTGAAGTATATACCCACTTTGCTCCTAAACCTCATCATTCAAACTATTTCATTTACTTCAAATGTATTTTCCTTATATGCCATTGTTAATTTATTCCCTTACATAGTCACTACCCTTGCTTAGCCCACTAGAAGCACAGTTTAAATGACAGGAGGGCAGGGTCTGTGTCTTTCTTCTTTTGCTGAATCCTCAGCATGGGGAACAATTCTTGCCATTTACTAAGTGCTCAATAAATCAACATGAAGAACAGTAACAGGCATAAATAGGTGGAGGGCTTACCATGTACCAAGTGATACACTAACCACTTTACATCTTAAACACTGCTCATCTCACAACCGCTAAGTGATAGTATGCTTATTGTCCCCATTTTAAATAAGAGCAAACTGAGGCACAGAGAGGTTCAGGTTGCACAGCCAGTAAATGGTGGTGCTGGGGTCTGCATCTAGTCTGCCTCTTGAGTCCATGCCTTAGGTTCTCTTTATAGAGAGTCCAGGTAAAACTGAAGTTGGGGTTGGGGTTAAAAGGAAAGTATTAGGATGGAGAGGACTTCCTTTCATCGTGTGTGTGTGTGTGTGTGTGTGTGTGTGAGAGAGAGAGAGAGAGAGAGAGAGAGAGAGAGGAGAGAGAGAGAGAGGGAGGGGGAGAGGGAGAGGGAGACGGAGAGAGAGAGAGAGAGAGCGAGAGCGAGCGAGCGCAAGCTGGGACCATCCTGAAAATGTAGTGATCTCTTCTTGGAGGCTATATCCATATGCACAATTATTCTCTCTCCTAGTGGGTTTCTGCCATTGATTTGTAGGATGAAGCCACAAGACCACATCTGTAGCACCCCTATCTATTCCAGGAACACCCATGATGAATCAAAACATTATTCTTTTAACAAATGAAGCACTGAGCAGCAGGAATTGAGTTATGAAGGCCAATATTCAGGGAATGTTTAGACACATGATTAACTGGCAATTTGGGAAGTGTGCAGGATAGAAGAGACCATCAGCATCTATGGAGATTGGTGTGGAAGTCATGATGGTGCTTGTGAGCAATGCCTGAGATGCAAGCTCACCTCTGTCTCCTGCCATTCAAAGGAGTTTCACTTTCTCTATATTTCTGCCCACTGAGTCCTGCCTTGGTACTTGACTAATCTGCTTCTTCATACATTAGTGGAATGCAGGGAACACATTTTCAAAAAGTCTAGATCCTATTGAATGTGCTGAACTAGACCCAATCATCACTATGGAACTTGTTCATCCCAGACAATACAAACACAGTCTGGAACAATTGAATAGGCTTTTTGACAAATTATTTGAAAAGTCACTATCAGTAGACAAGTTAAATGTCTGGCCTCAACACTTAAACCAGGTTTATTCTCGACTCCCTAGTGATGTAATAAAGAGCTGTGCAAATCAAATCCCAAAGTGCCCCCACCACCAGGCCATGGCCACCGTAGGCTCCTTTGATTGTGTAGAAGCTCTCTACTATTTATCCAATTGCATTCCTTGGAACTAGGGCTAGGTTCATGGGTGTTCAACCTGTGAGGTGCACAGGATCTACATTTTCAGATCTACATTTTCGGGGTCCCTCACTTGGTTTAATATTCTGTTGTCACCATTTTGAAATTCTTAGTAATTTATGAAAAAGTAGGCTTGCAAATTAGTAGCTGGTTCTGCTCAGAACACACTGAATATTTGATATGTACAAACAAATAATTATATAAATTTTAAGTTTTAAAAATTCTAATATTATAAAAATTTTATAATTCTGAAAACAAGATCTACTATAACCAACAGCTTAATCATCTCTTAGAATAGTATTCTGAAAACTCTATAATTAGGATAAGAATTCCAATGACATTTCTAAAGAGATGAATTACCCAAAGTCCATTGGAAACCTGGATTTGGAGAATGCTGAGGCCTGTTAAATAGAATCTGGTGCTCTAATGAGCATGTCCTGTAGCTTCTATCATTCCTTTTGGCCTGCTCAAAGAGTCGGCCCAAACCAAGTTCAACATCACTGGCAGGTAGAAAGGTGAGCCCGGTATCATCAGCTAGGTTAAGAGCCTAAGAAATGCCCTTCTCCAGGGAGTGTATTTTTCTCCTTGTTGGCTCGGAAAGTGATGGCAGGGCATGCAGCCCAGTCAAACTTAATTCAGATGAATGCTATTTCTTAATTATTTTTAAATCCATAATTCTGATTTTTAACTAAGATATGCTTACAGTTGAACCACATTCAGGAATATAGAATAATCTAAATTAGTCTTTAAAAGCTCTGTTTTTTTCTTTCCTCAAATAGAGGTCCTTCTGGGATTCGCTCTAATGAATAGATGAGAATAATGTATAATTAGCATATCAGTTGTTTAACACGTTCAAGAGGAAAACCTTGTTGAGCAGTTTAAGAAATGTATGTGTATAAAAATCTCTGAGTTACATTTATGGTTTTAATGTGTTCAATAAAGCTCTTTTACATGGATTCTCCAAAGGTCAGTTTTTATCCAGCCTATGTCTGCATTTTTGCAAATTGTGAATTCGATGACTCCAAAATAGAGAGGATTTTCAATATAGTAAATAAAGACACTCAGTGGGAACACTTCACAATACCCAGGTTATGACCCATTCTAAATGTCTGCTTTTGCCTTTTGCAGTGAAAGATGACTGCATTAAGCGGGGATCTATTTTTTTAAATTGTTATTCGTTTTAGGTTGCAAAAGTAAGACAACAAATGCCTTGACAATCTGATACACATCAAGCCATTTAGAAAAATGTTTTGATCTATCAGCCAGCTTGCCCCCTCTCTTCATCATCACTCTGTCCCCTCCCTGCATCAGAGAACCACCCAGGCCTGGCTTTCAGGCCTGGGCTGCTGTCTCAGTGACAGGCAGTGACTTGGGAATCACCCTTGACCCACTGTCCTCTCTACTTTCTGCTCAGTTCATTGTATTCCGAAGTCTTATCAATTTTATTAACATATGCTACTCAAATCCATCCATCTTTCCCATCTCTACCCTAGTTCAAGCTATGATGGCCTTGTACTCAGGTTTCCTGATGCCACCTTACTCCTCCAAGCCATGTTCAGCGGACCAACAAGGCAAACCCCTCAAAACACAAACCTGATTACATCACTCTGTAATTTTAAACACTTTCGCCTCCTCATGGCTTTTAAGAAAAAAAAAAAAAAAAAAAAAACATGAAAATGGTTTTGAGATCCTGAGGTCTGATCTTGGTCTGTCCTCCCCAGCCCTTTCTCATGGTGGTCCAGCTCACCAGCTCTCTGTGACTTCCTTGAGAGAGTCAGTTTCCTCAGCATTATTAGGCCTTTGCATTTGCTTTTATTCTTCCTTGGGGAATACTCTTCCCAGAAAATGTCCTCTCTTTATGGTTCACATTTTGGAATAAAGTATATATCACTTCCTTAGGGAATCTTTCTCTGATTCCCAAGAGCAGGTCATAGACTTCCCTGCACTTTGAGGAATATATAACCAAATGTTTGCTCCATGACCCTTTGATTAATGTTGGTACTCCCTTCTGGACTGTAATCCTCATGAAGCTTTGCTCTCTGCAGGAGCTGCAACTCCAGCTTCCTACAGGGAGCTAGACCACTCACCGCGCTCATGAGTGAGTCCAGGACGCTGACGGCAAATGCTGTCCCACATGCAAAGGGCTGCGTGAGGTACAGTTCTGTGTCGGGGTCATCGTCATCGTCTTGGTCCAAAAACTGAACATTAGTATCATTCACTAGAAAAAGCATAAGAAAAGAATTAGCACTGAAGAACACACCTGGGTAGCAAAGCCTAGAGACACTGGTGTAGAAACAGGTGATGGGTGTAGAAACACTGAAGTCACTGAAAAGGAAACAAAAGCATGGGAAGCTGTGGATGGATCTCTGAAGGGGGCAGTTGGACTCAATGGACTGCTCCTATGGGACTGTTCAAATTTCCAAGACCTGGAGAGCAATGAGATCAAGCAGACCTGCTGCACAGCAGGCTGCTGGAGGACCAGGAGACCCTGCTGGCCAGTTCTTTGGTATAGTTTTAGAATCATGACAGAAAAACACTCTGAAGCATTTTTTGGTAGCCAAGTCCTTTGAGAGATGGACATATTTCAGTGATGAGCAGCCATGCTGGCAAGGTAAGTTTAGCCACAAAGAGAAAAAAAAAAAAGCAACATATTCAGAGGAAAAAGCAATGAACTGGGAGCAGGGCAAAAGCAAACAGCAAGGAATTCATCCTCAGGCATAACTCACAGCCTGCCTGCCCTGGGGATTGCCCTGGGTGGTGCTGGTGGCCTAGGGCTCTGAATCCAAGCCCACACCCAACAGGCCCTGCTGAACCTCCAGGAACCCCCAGGTGGGATGCATCCCTTCCCCGCCCCACTGCTTGCTGACAAAGACTTTTTCTGAGTTCTGAGTTGCAAGGCTACACCCACGTTCTCCCTTTCCCTTCTAAACAGCTCAATCTTTTCTGTTTCCACTTAAGCAGATACAGCCCTGGCTGCTGTATTTCATCTCCATCTGAGGATTCCTCAAGGACTCCTCCAGCACACACGTGCAGACTGATTAGTTGTGTCACTCAGATGTCTTTAACTTATTAAAAATTAAGTGACAAATTAATTTCCATTCCCATCTTGGCTTCAGAAATTATCACTTTTGCAGAGCAAGTAATAGGGGAAAAGCATGGGGATGGGGAGGGGGTACTTGTGATTTCTGGAACAATTATTTGCTTTTAGGGAGAGAACAGATGAGGTTTCCTTTCCCTGATTCTTTTTTAAAATGTATCAGCAGATATTCCCTTTCCTAGAATTATTGTTTTAATTTTTTAAAGTAACTTTCCTGATAACTTTTCTTAAAAGAAAAACACAACTTTTGTTTATTGCATGAGGCAGAATAAATGATGATAGGATAAAAGGCTAGACATATAATTGTTTTTAAATGATGCCATTTTTTTTCCTTATAGAAAGACTCTAATGGGGGAAAATCTTTGCTCTGTTTTCCCAAAGTTCACTGCTTTGGGTCCCTATTGTCTTAGTAGGATACACACAAGTTACAGGGTATTGGGTAAAAGTCCAAAATCCAGATTCTGGGACATCTGGGCTTTGAGTCAGGCTCTGTTACCAAATTCCTTGGGCAAATTATTTTAAGAGCCTATCCTTTAGGTTCTCTCTCTGTAAAGTGGGGAAATTATACAGCAGCCCTCTCCTGAGGTTAGTAAGAAGCTCATAAGAGATCATGCTGGTGAGCTTGACCCAACATTTGGATCAGGTTATGCACTAGATCAATGGAGGTTGCTTTCTTGATGGCCGCCTTTCTCCTTTATGACATCAAATGTCTATCAACCCACTGCATTTTGAAAATGCCTACTTTCCCTCTGCCTTTCTCAAGACACTAAAGGCTTGCTTATAGATCCTTCAAGTGCTAGATGTTTCTTCATCTCCTTCCCCTTGTCCTGTTAAATTGAATTAAGTTTGGCCTAAAGCTGCTTCAATGCAATTTTAAGTTTTGGCTAAAGGTGTCTCCATACATAGTCAATTGTAACTTAACATGATGCATAAAGCAGACTATAACTTATTATTGTAACAAGGAGCTGAGAGCTACCCAATCACAAGTGACCACACAGTCTAAAGAAGACAGACACCACCAATACCCAATAAGCTGTCTCAAAACTTTACTTCTGTGTTCCCTATGTCACTTTTCTGGCTGTAAATATAGCCTGTCCTTATGGTAGGATCCAGCATTGTAAACCATTTTGGTCTATTGCCCATTCTAGAATCATAAATAAGCCAATTCAGATTTCAAAACCTGATTTGTTGCAATTTTTGTTTTCTAATTGTCCAAAAGTATATTGTTGGTCAGATTAGTATTTCTCCTTTGGAAGGCTCTCTGCACACAAAGAAGAAATCTGGTATGGGAAGGACTTTAATATTTCTCTATTGACTTTCTCTGAGAGTCACTTATGTTTATTGAATACCTGAATTTGCTGCTTCAGATTTATAGCACAAAACTTTTTCTTTTCTCTTCCACTAATCACAAATCAGGATATCCCATTTAGTTAGCAGCATGTGAATTCCAAAGAGAAAGAGAAACTTCTGGCACTGATGTTTTTGAAATGTTGCTGTAGGTTTCTGAGATGGAAGTGTTTGAATGAATTTTCCAACCAGAAATCTGGGCCACGTGAGCTCTCCAGGTCTCTTATGGCCCTACAGTTCTGAAAAGAGCAATCTAGAAACCTAAGCTTTTAGCCAACTACGCTAAGCATGAAAAAGACACCTCTCCTATGGTTGGAAACAGAAAATAGTGCAGTACTCTTTGACCTGAGTGAATCTGGCCTGATAAATGGCTACGTCTACAATAATGCAGGGCTGAATGGTGGACAATTTATTCCCTAGTTTCTAGACACCTCACAAGCAAGATTACTGTGTTAAAAGCCTGCTTTCTTATTTTGAAGTATATTTTGGGGCCAAGAAAATGGAGTGTACATTTCATCTGTGAGTCATCTGAAGGCAGGTGCTCCCACCTCTCCATCTACCCCTCTGCTGAGCAGTACTTTCACTGTCTCTATTTAGAAGATCAATCCCCAGTTCTGAGACCTGCTGCTGATGGGTGCCCTTCACGGAGTTATTAACCAAGTCATGGGGAACTGTGGAAGGGCCTGACAAATGCAGTCATGACCAGAGGCCTTCATCTTCTGGACGAATCTAGGAGGGTGGGGTCAGCGTGCTGGATTGCTAACCTTCTCTTCTGCACCCTTCTCAAAATCTGGCTTTAGTAAGGAAGGGTTCCCCTAGGAAGCAGCTGCTTTTATGGCTTAAGAACCAGAGCTTCTGAGAAAGGGCCTAGTAGGAGGAAAAAAGGCAAATAAAGTCAGAATAAAGGAAAATAAACAGCTGGAGGGAAGCACCATCTTAGGTTTCTTATCTTAAAATTTTTATATTTCTCCTTTGACTTCCTCTGAGAGCTGTGAAGATGTGTCAGTCAAACTGACAGTGTGTTGGAAGAGGAAGATAGGGAGAAGGCAGGAGAGCAGGGGCACGTGTGGGAAAAAAAATAAAATAAAAAAGGCTTGGGCCACAGAAAATGAATCAGAGCAAAGATGCTTTGGAAACAACTGCCAGGTCAGATGGGTGTGATCAAAGGTTTACTGATGCTGTGTGGGGAAAAAAATCATTAAGAAAGGCCAGAACAAGACAGTCAATTCCAACCAGAGCCACAAATAAAACGCATTCAAAGCAGTGCCATGGGGTAGCCTTTCTGTTACAGCCAGTGAAATAAAAAATCAAGCCAATGATTGTTGGAAACACCAAGAACAGAACAAAAGGAGATACTGATGTCAAGGAAAATAGCGCTTCTTACCCAGTTCAGTTATCATTAGAATGTGTGTTCCACTGTTTTTTTCCTGATTGACTGATACCAAAGGCAACTTGCCCGGTTTAGCTAATTGGGTACGGCATTTAAGGGATGGGGAAAGGGAGTGGAGGAAAGTACAAAAAAAGAAAAGTGAGGGAATAACAGAGGAAACATTCTAAAGCAAAGGGACCCAGGACCATGAGCAGTTTGCATTTGTCTTAGGGGAAGAGTCACTCCCCTAAGTTTTGCAAATTTATAAATGATAGCAGGACCTGCCATGGACAGGTTAGAAGTGGGATTCCATTGGCCAGTGAATATGGCCCCCCCCTCAAAATCCCATCATTTTTAAAACCATAGTGGCCATTTTCTGCAAATGGTCTTTGGCTGAGATGTTCAACTAGAACAGATCAAATGTGAAGTTGTTACATCTTAGCCAATGCTTCTACCCAGTTCTCCATGTGAATTTGGGTAGACCTGACATTTTGAGAATTCAGATTGTGGAAGCTGTCCAGACAGAATGCTCAAAAGAGGTGCTTCCAGTGAAAATTCATGAGAAGGAATCCGTAGAGAACAACCTTTCCTCCTTTCTTCCCCTTTCCCAAATACATGCCCTGATCTCAAAGCCATCATCTCATGCTCCTTTGAAAACAGTGAACAGTATGAAGGAAACAGTCTATTCATCTCAGAGAAAAGATAGATCAGATTTTCCTTCAGGTAGTCTGCCATATTTCTTTCTACCCCTGCCCCTGTCCAACTACACAGCAAACAAAACCCATTAAGAGGCTGAAAGAGCAAAAGGTAGGCCAACCTCCTTATATCCTGAATGGTCTGGAAAAGAGGACAAAAAAATTCCCCCCAGAGCCAACAATGACCCCCACCTAGTTCAGTGATGATGGGTATGTTGACCCCAGTGGTGATGGATGGCTGGCGTAACATCCCGTGCACTGGGCTGTTATCCGGAGAGGATCTGTCCATTCCTGGAGGTGTGAATCCTAGTGGCAAGAAAACAGAGGAGGAAGAAAAATTAGAGAAGTGGAAAATTTGGAAATATTGAGAGTACAGTTTACATATGCAACCCCTAAAATGTAGCTTATGCATTACTTAGAGGTCAACAATTTTCACTCTCAGGATAAACTTAGATGGGTAATTTTTTAAAAGGACAAAGTAGGAAACCATTGTAAATAATTCTAACTCACTTTGATTGTTCTCTAAAAATCTAGACTACTCCAATTATTTATTCCTTCTTACAGATTTCAATCCCCTCTCCTTTCTGGCACATAGGAAAATTGACCTCTGTCCCCATGGAGTTAGAGAGGACCATGTGACACCTGAAATGCTCTGGCACATGACAAGTGAACAGAGCAATGCAGATTACTTCTGGTACAAGTATTTGACTTGCTGTCTTTCTATCCCAGGCCACGACAACTGTGGGGGCACAGGTTGCAATGGAGGTCAAGTGTATACAGGAGCCCTGGACAGTTGCCCAGACTCACAAAGCATTCTGTCCAAGTGAAAAACAAAGCTGCATTGTTTTAAACCATGGCAACTTGTTTGTTTGTCACTGTTGTCCTTACTTCAGCACACCTAATCTCTCCTGACTGTTATCTTAAACCAAGTGATTGCTTCTCCTCCTGCCAGTCAGTGACTGGCTTGGGTTTTGACACAGTGCTGGACAATGGAAGGTGGGGTAGGGGGAATCTTGACTGGGGCTTTGAAGAATTGCTTCCTTCCTCTTAAAAAGAAGAGATTTTCATTTAATACACTGAACATCCTTATGTGTGCCTCCAGTGCCTGGACCTGTGGCAGCCATCTTGCAAATAGGATGAACACTGGCTCAGTACCAAAGCACCTTCATGATACTGACTGAAATGAATCACAGAACTGCCCGAGTTCCTGAGATAACTACCCAGGAACCACCCTAACTTAGTTTCCTAATATGTGAGATTTCATACACACACTGAGTTTCTCTTTTCTTTCTCTTTCTCTCTTTTACATGCTTACACATGGCATAATATTTTTACACATATATGCACAACATAAAATATAATATTTTTGTTTAAGCCAAATTGAGAAGGAATTTTCTATGTTTGCAACTACTGTGATAGTAGGAGCAAATGTGACTCCATTTTGTTTTATGACTTCATCCTGTAAAACAACCATGCCAAGTAGAAGAGTCATGTCTGGAGCAAGATGTTCTTTTCCTTTTGCTATAGAAACCTTTAAGAACACAGAACTACCTAATGGGGTTTGTTTCTGTATCTAGGGTAACGGGGCTCTGTTTCTGTAACTGGGGTGACTGGGCTAACTGTGATTGGTTAGGCTTCCCTCTGCTTGACTGCACTGTCCTGCTTCTGTAACCTGGCTTGCTTGCATTGGCTAGACCCACCGAACATCCCTTTTGCGGTTTTCAGGCTTATAAGGAGTGCCCTTGCAATTGTTCGGGGCTGATCAGGGGAACAGTTTTATGTTCTGGTCAGCCGCCACCGGTGTGCTTCAATAAAGGCTTGATTCGATTATACGTGAATGTCTGGAAGTCAGTTTATGAAACCCTGGGACGAAGCTTTAACTATAACACTACAATCCTCCCAACTGATAATACATGCCATTTATTTACTGTGGATCCATTGAATTTCTCAGGGGGTCCAACAGCAATATCATAAGGCAAATGTGGGTACGGAAAACCTGGAAAGCAGCTGCTTGGTTTATGATTTTGCAGTTTGAGCTTCCTTGGGTCTCAGGCCCAAGACCTGAGTACATGAGCTTGGATCAATCATAACTTCAGAGAGAATAAGAAAGGATCCCAGATAAGTCTAGGGACTACCTCTCAGGGCATTCATAGAGACACATAAACACGAGAAACTTACTTGCCTCATATGTTCACTTGTTGAAAGTTAATTTCTCCAGTTGGATATGAGACTCAGTTTGCTACCCCACCTTGGGAGACAGGCAGGTGCTCACATTGACTTTGGATTCTTTTTGTCCTTGGTGTATTGCCACACATACTTATCCAGGAATTAGGAACTATGGTTCAAAGTCATATGCTACATTACCAGGAAAAAAACTTCAAATAGATTATATGACCAGATTTCTGACTCACTCTCCAGTAATGTGACAAGATTGGGCTGAATCTAGCATTTTGGCTATGCATGAATCAGGCATAAAATGACAGGTGCTCAATAATTGCCTGTTGTTTGGAGCAGGTTATCTATGCATGAAATGCCAGAAAAATATAAAAGGACTTTCTTATTTTCCACTCTCCCATGTATCAATTTCATATCAAGTGCCAGACTTTCAGGAAGAAAACTTTTATTTAGTATCCATTCCCTAATTTCACTTAATTTTATTCTTTATGATAATATACTGTGAACAGAGCAAGTCATTTTGAAAGACAGTCTAGTGTCCATCTTCCTGAACTTCTGAGGGTATGTTTTTCAGCTAACCTCATAACCAAGAACATGCATTTTAAATGCTAGCTGTTTTCTTCCCCTAGAATAGTGAAGGGGAAAACTAAACTGTTTTTATCAGAAGTTTCATTCAAAAGCATGAAAAACTGCAAGTGGCAGCTGTGCAGATTCAGTGGATGTGACGTTTTTGAATTTCTTCAACTTGACAAGTAAACACCTTAAATCGGTAATGCTATATGCATAATACATGGCCTGTATTTTGACATCCATCATCAAATGCTGACTTGAGAAAATACGGGTTTGTACGTCAAGGAATAGCACCCATAGAGCAGGGAGAAATGCAGGTCACACGGTATTAGGAAAACTGTATTTCATTACAGAATCTGCAACAAGCCAAAGCATCCTTTTATTTTATCTTATTTAAAGATTCCATTTTCAGCTGTGAAAAGACTCAATTCCTTTGCATGAAACCTTCATTTAGAAATGACATGCTTGCTTCCTAGGCCTCTTTCATATTCCATTTTCCCCTTCAGTCACCAAGCCTGGTTCCATTAGCATCTGCAACTGACAAACCATGGAGGGTGTCCAAAGACATCCCTCCATCGAAGGTCTGTCTCTCCCCATCCCCGACCCCAAGAGCAGTGTGCTTTGGTTGGCAAGAAAACTTCAGCAATACTAATGGGTTGTCTTATGTTTCTACTTTTCTGGTAACACATTTTTTTAAAGCAAAAGACAATAACAGCCCAATAAAAAATAGATTTTCCCTTTTTCCTCTCATGTAGAGTTGTGTTAAAGATGAACAGAATTTACTAGCATTATTTTTTTTCATGGGAACCTTAATATGGGAAAATTCTGGTCCTTCTCAGATTCCCTAAGGAACCTTGGAGCGAAGGGAGACTTGGGTGCCTTCCATTAAAAGGAAGAGGTAATCTGGCCTCTGATGCCAAATGGTGGCGTTTTTCTCCATTCTTCACAGGGGGTTGGTCTCAATTGTTGACTGAGGGATTGGTCTCTATTGTATCCAACCCTCTGATTATTTGGCTCCGCACTCTTTTATTGCAACAGCACTGGGTACATGTTTGGTGGCACTTTGTATCTCTATGGAAGCAGTGCTTGAGAGAACTGACACATGGAATGTACTCCGGGATGTACAGCAAATCCAGGAAACTGTCCCTTCGTTTGTTAGTAAACTAACATTTGGGAAATCAATTTTAGAAACGACTCATTATTTTGCCACAAGAAATGACTAAGAATGTTAGCATGAGAGAGAGAGAATAAGAAGTCCTAAACAGAAAAAAAAAAAAAAAAAAGAAGAAGAAGAAGCAGGTTCAAGTTTAATTATCTATAGCTCTAGCTCTCACTGATACGGGCTTGTGAGTCTTTAGATGTATTCCCATTGCCTCTGTTGGGCATGGCCAGGGGAGGCAAGTTTCGCACTAAAAATGACTTCCAAAGATCATCTCATCTCCTTCAAGTGAAGGTTGCTCCCCTTTCCAGACTTTAGTGACAGATATGATAGGCATCCACTACCTCTTCTATTCATTTGGCATCAACTATAGATGCCTTCACCACCACTATCTCAACCAAGTATTCTCATTCTATAGGCCAAAGACTCAGTTTCCTATTTCTTTGAACTTCCCGATTGTCCACAGATTGCTTGGCATCTACAGAAGAAATACACTGGGATAGTTAAGAGTATGGGCTTGAAGTTAGATGTCATGGCTTCAATCTGGATCACCTACTTCTTAGCCATGTATCTGTAAGCAGTGCACAGACTCTCTCATATATATATATATATATATATATATATATATATATATATATTTGGTACTAGGGACTGAACCAAAAGGTGCTTGACTACTGAGTCACATCCCCAGCTCTTTTTAATTTTTATTTTGAGACACCATTTCGCTAAGTCTCTAAGGCTAGCTTTGAACTTGCAATCCTCCTGCCTCAGCCTCCCAAGCTGCTGGGTTTACAGGTGTGCACCACCATGCATAGCGAATTAAAACAAATTTTCACAATGAGTAAATCTTGGAAAACTAATGAAAAGGCAAGAAGCATTGTTTGAACATGGATATGTTCTGGTATAAATAATCACATCAGTCCTGTGATAAACTTCAGTCCAACATATCTAAGGAAAAAGGAGTTTGGATATGGGGAAGACTGGTATTTTTGTTTAGGTATATTAGAAAACTGGTGGCCAGTCTCCATGTAAGAAAGGTTCTTCAATTCTTCTAGCAGTTGCAGAATCTCTCTGGAGGCTCTGTTTTCTAGATTGAATTTCCCACCTCCATTAGCTATTTGAAAGCATAATCTTTTCTCTTAAGCTTCTCGGCTCCTAAAATGGTTTTGCTACCCTCCACGTTCTTTGGCAGCATTTGTGCTCTTGGTCATATGTAGTCCTGCTGGGTTCAGCTTGAACTTGCAATCAGCAGCATCTGGTGTCCTTCCCATGATATTGGTTATTCCAGAGGCTGACTGAGCTGGGCCTCAGGTTAGGGAAGGTTAAGTGCCCTTTAGCAGACATTCAGACAATGGGATTTCATTTAGGAGGTCTTAGAATTAAACAATGTAATAGACACTTG